CAGTAATAACGTGACAATTTCTTATGTTCTTTATACCACAATCATATTCGTATAGTATTTACTATAATCACACAATGTTCAAAGAGATGTGTACAACCAAGACAGGGACGGGTAATCATAGGAAATCACACCAACAGAAACAGAGCCACAGCAACAAAAGTACTCTTTTTTCAGCAGAATGGGGAAGAGTTACAACCTCAGATTTTTACCTGCCTGTTGTATTCCCCTGATTTCCTGTACAGGGAAAACAAAACAAAATATGCCCGCAGACAGCAGTCATAACCCATAGCTAAGAAAAGGACACTAAACATGTTCATCAATGGCAAGTCAAGCACAGTTTATATCAGTTGGACCCTTTGAAAGTACCCTTGTGCTGACAGTTGGCAGTCTTTTCTTTATGTAGCCACCCTTATTTTTTTTTTCAAACACATTTTTTATTGTAAATAGTAATGGTTTACAAGGCACAAAGAAAGGAACAAAGCAGGTCCATACAGTAGTTGTCTGGGGACAAAGTCCAGAGTTTCACCTGGGAAGGATCTCAGAGCTTGTTGTCCAGGCTTCTTAAGAATATTACATCCAATGATCACATTTAACATCAAGACAGTGCATAGCCAGTAGGCACCTTTAGTCAAAAAGACTATTTTATATGAACTGCTGAGGAGCAGCAAGACAACTTAGTATGTCTCAGGTGGGCAAAGTAGGGAAGAATAAGCCATACAACCTGGACGAAAAACTGGCATTATCTCATTTCTGGAGGGGAAAGGACAAAAGCTACATGGCATAGGAGGGTACTAGACATGGGAGGCATTACATTGAGAAACAATAGCAATGGCATTCTCCTGATCATGGGCCGGTCCAGGAATTGAGCTTCATCAGCATGGTGTCGAGTGTATGTTAGTCTTGATGGAGAGAAATGTAAGGATGAAAGGCACTGAAGGAAATGCAAAAAGAAAAGGGAGAGGAGAAAGAAAAAGAGGGAAAGAGTAGGGTGAGTATAGAAGGATAGGATGGAAAGGAGGAGTATCCCAGGCCCATTATTAAGTTTGGCTGAGTGGTAGACAGTCCAATCTGATCTATAGTTTATACATTTAGTTCCCCATAAACTCTGTATTGCTATTATTTATTCCCTGCTTTTCCTACTGCCAAAAGCGGTCACTAGTACTGCTAGCAATAGAATATGATGCCACAGTAATAATGAGCTATGAATATATATGTTCTCTTTAGCCAACCAGTAAGAGAATTACTGCCACCGATACATGCTGGGGGAGAGCCTAAATATTTGGGGTGGACCTTGTGATCTCTCTCTACCCTGTGGTCTGGGGAGGGTGTGTGATATGCAGCTACGTGACTATTTATTTATTATTATTTATTTCAGGTACTTATATAGCGCCGTCAATTTACGCAGCGCTTTACATATATATAATGCATTTACATCAGTCCCTAACCCTCAAGGGGCGTACAATCTAAGGTCCCTAACTTACATTCATACATACACATACTAGGGCCAATTTGGACAGGATCCAATTAACCTACCAGCATGTCTTTGGAGTGTGGGAGGAAACCCCCCGCAGGCACAGGGAGAACATGCAAACTACAGGCAGGTGGTGCTGTGGCTGGGATTTGAACCAACAACCCTAGTACTGCCAGGCTACTGTGCTGCCCACTGTGACTAGGCCTGGGACCTAAGAGGCATTTGCATGGGCTCAGTGCAAATGCCTGGAAGTAAAAGAAACCTACCTGTCCAGTGCGGTCCTGGGGTCAGGGAGCCTCACAGAAGACAAGAATGTAGAAAGAGGAAAAATGATGCCCAGGTGGAGTACCTGAGATGACTCTGCCGCTGAAGATCCTGAGTACAAGGAACTTACAGAGAGGCTGGGAACCCATCAAGAGGATCACTGGGATTGCTGTTGTTGGGGATACTGCTGATTCTGGATAAGGTTGTTGATTTCAGCTTAAAGGTCCTTTTGGTTATACTGAGGTCTGTGAGAATGCAGATCAGTAAAGGTATAGTGAATCCCATACCCCTCTCTCCCATGTTGTACTGTGTGGAATCAAATCTTTAAAAAAATCCCTAAAGTGACTGATGCCCAACTGTTACATATTGCCTACCTTTCAGCCATGGAAAATGCCCACCTTGTCTCTGGGGTACCTCACATGGGGGTCATGGAGTGCTATATTTATGATCCTAAGGAACATTTTTCACTATCAGGATGCTCCTGCTGCAGACCCTCACAATATGACCTCCTCCATATGGAACAAAATGTTATGTTCTACTCCTTTGCAATTTCAAAGATTTTAACAAGTTTAAAGTGACAAAAAAAAGTTATTCCTGTAAAGAAGGAAGTAAATACTTACCTTTCCTGCCACCCACACCAACCCATGTTGCTGCACTGAAGAAGAATTCCATGATGATGTTTCTTCAGAAACCGACACATCCAAGAGTGTCAATCTCTTGGTTCCCTGACACACTCAAAGGTTTCTACCATCAATTACATCTATATCACTTACAAACACAGACGTGATATGGGATCAGTGGGTGGAGATTTCACTTAGGACATCAGGAGACCATGTTTTACCATTCATTAACACTTGGTAACACACAGCATTTTGTGCTTTGCATTGTGGTGCCATTCACACGTTTTGTTTTTTATACATTGCCATGCACTGGCTTCCAAATTATGGTATGCACATTAACATGCAACGTGCTCTTATTGTGTGTGTGTTTAGTAATGTGCTGTAATTAGACATGTGCAGAACGAAAACAATTTGCTTAGTTTCGGATTGATTCATTAAGCTACTAATTTAATTTTCTTGCATTCGTAATGAAATTAATTTAGTTTTTTTTTGTTTCATTTATTTGTTTTCAACTGGATTCAAATTTTTCTGATGGATTTGAAGTATTCAAATCGAATTTGACATGAAAATATCGAATCGATCTGAATTCGTTGTGAAGAATAACTGGTTCCATTCTATCAAAGTTTGAATTTCGGAAGATGGTTCTATTTTGTTTTATTCTATTCTAGATTTTTTCTATTTTTTCTATTCTATTCTTTTATTTTCTATTATATTATTTTCTATTCTATTATTGTATTTTCTAATCTATGCTATTCTATTATGTTCTTTTTTGCGCTATTATTTTCTTTTCTATTCTGCTTTATTCTATTCTAGTCTTTTTGAAATTCGAATTTCAGAAGACGGCTATACTCTTTCTGCTCTATTTTATTATTATTATTATTATTATACAGTATTTATTTTACTCTCTTTTATTTTATTAAAATCTATTCTATTTTTTTTATTCTATTCCTTTATTTGGTATTCTATTTTTTTCTATTCTATTCTATCCTGTTTTATTCTATTCTTTTCAAAATTCTAATTTTGGAAGAAAGATGGCTATAGCCTATATTCTATAACACTAGTCTTTGAAAGAAATCAGCAATATGTTTTATATTTTGAATTTGTTTTTGAATTTGATTTTGTTTTGAAATTCAATTCAATTTTTGGACTATATTTTGTTTAGTTATTTCGGATTCATTGAAATTCTTTACTATTGTAATTCGGAAATTCGAATATATCCGAATTTCCGAACAGCGAAAATTTTGTCCAAATTTCAATTCGGAACTATACAAACTGCACGTCAAGCTGCAATGTACTGGAATGTAGAATCAAACTAAATATTCCCATATTTTATTATATATACAAATTCTATTATTTTTGCAGATAACATTAAAAAAAATAATTATAACTTAGAATTTCATCTACCACAGTTATTCATGTGCCTACATAGTAATTATCCATTTTGTTCATATGTGGAAAATCTAGTAATATATATTTATTAGGCTCAGCTAGCTACAGTCCCTGTAATATAAACCCCTGCCTGTCAGTTTCTTTGTATGTCCTGTATGAGGCCCCTGTAGAGTGGAGGCATCATAGGAGTTAAATCCAACCATCTTTTTATGTTCAGAATTGTGTGTTTCCCCAGCAAGAACAAAGGATCAAGGCAAGCGGCTTCTTCCTATGATAGCGCAGCGTATTCTCTATTCACAGACAGACCCCAGGAAAGAATGCAAATATATAATAAGTTTTAGGTTGCTGTGGTAACAGTCAAATCTCAAATAAAAGTAACAAATGGTTGGTAAAGCAAGTGTGTGTGTGTGTGTGTGTGCGTGTGCAATGGTAATGTGTAATGTGGTTTGGTCCTTCCAGGGGCGGACTGACAACTCATGGGGCCCCCAGTCAATTGGAGATCATGGGGCCCCTGTGTCCTTGCCCAAACTCAAAAAAGCCTATGAAAAAGGTACCGGGGGCATCTCATGGGGCCCCCTATTGATCCCGAGCCCTCGGGCAGTGCCCGAGTTTCCAAATAGTCAGTCCGCCCCTGGGTCCTTCAAAAAGCTGAAATTTTCCATTTAGGTTGAGTCGGGATATTTACCATAATTTTTCAATGACTTTCATATTCTTTTATAGGTTTGTTTAACCACTAGCCTACAGGGCACTTATACCCCTTTCCTGCCCAGGCCAATTTCCAGCTTTCAGCGCTGTCACACTTTGAATGACAATTGCGCGGTCATGCAACACTGTACCCATATGAAATTTTTATCATTTTTTGTGACAGAAAGAGCTTTATTTTGGTGGTATTTAATCACCTCTGGGTTTTTTATTTTTTCTTAAACAAACCAAAAACCACTGAAAATTTTGAAAAAAAAAAGTTTTCTTTTTTTTTTTCTTAGTTTTTGTTATACAATTTTGTAAAAAAAAGTGATTTGTCTCCTTCACTGATGTACGCTAATGAGGCTGTAGTGATGGACACTGATAGGTGGCATTGATGGGAACTGATGAGGAGGCACTGGTAGGTGGCACTGATGGGCATTGACAGGCATCACTGATGGGCACTGAAAGGCAGCACTGATATATGGCACTGATAGGCAGCACTGATAGGTGGCACTGATAGGCTGCACTGCCTAGCATTGATAGGCACGGCACTGATAGGTGGCACTGATACACACTGATAGGCAGCACTGACTGGCACTGATAGGTGGCACTGATTGGCAGCACTGATAGGTGGCACTGATTGGCATTGATAGGTGGCACTGACTGGCACTGATGAGTGACACTGAAAGGCAGCTCAGATGGGCACTGATATGTGGCATTGATGTGCACTAGTAGGCACTGATATGTGGCAAATCATCAATGATCAACAGCAAGGCTCTTGCTTTCCGTTCATTGTGCATCGGCATCGGAGGTTGGTCATCGGCTCTGAGGAAGGGGATTCGTCCCCGAAACGCGTCAGCCATTTGACCGCACTGACAGTGAGAACACCTTGCCTGCCGTTGTGGCCATTGTCATTTTTCTATGCTTTTTAGATACATGCTTCGTCTGTGAGTATGTTTTTATTATTCTTTCACTCCTACAATAAACCTTGGATAATGCACTAGGTGTGTGCGCCACCTGTTTTCTCTCCATCTCCTGTACTGTGTCTGCAGTCTCTGGTCATCTCCTGTACTGTGTCGGCAGTCTCTGGTCATCTCCTGTACTATGTCTGCAGTCTCTGGTCATTTCCTGTAGTATGTCCGCAGTCTCTGGTCATCTCCTGTACTGTGTCTGCAGTCTCTGGTCATCTCCTGTACTATGTCTGTAGTCTCTGGTCATCTCCTGTAGTATGTTCGCAGTCTCTGGTCATCTCCTGTAATATGTCTGCAGTCTCTGGTCATCTCCTGTACTATGCCTGCAGTCTCTGGTCATCCCCTATACTGTGTTTGCAGTCTCTGGTCATCTCCTGTACTATGTCCGCAGTCTCTGGTCATCTCCTGTACTGTGTCTGCAGTCTCTGGTCATCTCCTGTACTGTGTCCTGCAGTCTCTGGTCCATCTCCTGTACTGTGTCCGCAGTCTCTGGTCATCTGTACTATGTCTGCAGTCTCTTGGTCATCTCCTGTACTGTGTCCGCAGTCTCTGGTCATCTCATGTACTGTGTCTGCAGTCTCTTGGTCATCTCCTGTACTATGTCTGCAGTCTCTGGTCATCTCCTGTACTATGTCTGCAGTCTCTGGTCATCTCCTGTACTATGTCTGCAGTCTCTGGTCATCTCCTGTAGTACATCTGCAGTCTCTGGTCATTTCCTGTACTATATCTGCAGTCCATTGGTTCAGATTGTTTAGTTTTTTCTTGTTTTCCTCCTCTAAAACCTAGGTGCGTCTTATGGAGCTAAAAATACGGTATTTATTTGCACTAACATCCACATTTTTAGGACAAGCTTTCGAAGTGCACCCCCTACTTCAAGGTCCAAGCAATACTAATGCACAAAGTTTTAGCAGAATGTTAAAGCAGAACTTCACTATCTCAATCAACATTGACTATTTTTAATCCTTATGCTGCTAGAATTAGTAAACCGATAGGAAAGTATATTATGTTTGGCTGTTTTAACCTTTTCTTTTTTTAATTTCTGTAGCTACTTCCTGTTTCCCATGCCTAGGCAAATGATATCATGCATACCACGAATATTCAGTAGGGGAAGAGGGGTTTTCTCAGTTAAGCACACTCTTTCCTGCTTGCATGCCTGAGCTGAGGACAGATAGATTCTAGGAAGTAAATGCTACATGAATCATCTGCCCTTACTCAAGATGGCCACAGCCAGAAATGCTAGGGGAGTAATTTCAGAACAAAACAAAGCATGGGGACATGGATGAATGGATGCGTTTGCTTTGAATATTAAAAATGAATCAAGCAACAGTTTAGTTTGTGGTGCTCAGATGAAGTGTAGTTCCACTTTAAGTAAATCATAGACAAACACATCAATAGTAACTAAACTTGGGTAGTTAGTGAGATAAGGCAAAAAGAACTATGAAACACATGAATGTTTTGGTTCATAAAGGGAATTTCAAAACTACTCAGGAAAGGAAAATGTTTAAACTAAGATTGAAAATTCAATTTAACACAAAAGATAATGGACTAAATGTGGACTCCTCTAAATCATTATCCAAACGTTTACAATCTTCCTCACCTCTGTGACTGTTACTCCCCCTGCCTTATATTACTAGCTATCCAAGTTTAATTACTATTACTATGTTTGTTTGCCTTTTTTATTCCTCAGATTGTCTAATTTAACACTTTTCTAAAATGTTGTGTATTAATTCTTCTTGGACCTTGAAGATGAGGTACTCCCTGAAAGCTTGTCCTAAAAATGTGGATGTTAGTGCAAATAAAAAAAGTATCATGAGCAGTACTCAATTGTTTTTCTTCCATCAATCCAACAAAATTGCACATACATTTTAGGTAAGAAGAACCTGTGGGATTGTTTAGGGGTTTATCAATGTCTCAAGAAGTGCCTGCATGCATTTTAAACTTCTGTGAATCAAGCAAGGAACCTAAAGCCCAAATCTGGATAGAAATAAAAAATGGTACCCTAGGAATCTATGATAAAAAAAAAGACTCACCTTCTGTCCTGAACAGTAATTCCTTTCAGGCACAAGATGTCCTCGGTCTTGTGAGCTGGAAATGGCTGAACCCAAAAAACTGAGGACATTCAGTGAGGGAAGGGCTAGCATGGATCTGCCCACTGTGGGGCGTCACCATGGCTGCCTAAACTCACAGTGTAATAATGCAGAGAGCCATGCTGACATGGTGCATCTTTGAGTGCTGCCTACAGTCAGAGATAATGAAAATGAATCATACAGGTCATGTGACCGACCTGGAGATATCGGGGAAAAAGGTAACTATATAAAAATGAAAAAATACAGCTAGGAGAACCTCCATGGGTGGTGGTAGGTGGAAACTGAGTGTCAGGAAGACCGCCCAGAGTTAGACTTTAAAGGCTAATTCTGCCTTTATGATATTGTTTCAAGTCATACCCATATCTTGGTAAAAATTCCATTCACTTCCTGTCCAAGATGTGTCCAAGAGCTGCAACAGGAAACAAGGGAAATTCCCTCCTTAGGGCTTGTTTTCACAAGCATTATCTTTTCAGAGAGCGTTTGATAGGCAGTGAAGAGTTGTTATGTCACCACCTCACTGTCTATTTTACCCCTAAAAGCTTGCACCATTGCAACCACCTGAACAGGTCGCTTGCATGAACATTCACTTGAATAAGTTGCGTTTGTTGGGTGGTACCGTACCTAGAACAAGACATAGATATTTTTGCCATGCCACAATGCACAGCATCATGGCCACTGCATGTTTATTCCCCCATATGGCTGCTTTACAGCTGAAAGGTGGCGCTTGGAGGGTCAGCAACAAAAGTGGCTCATATGCCCGTTTTTATTCTGCCCCGACCCCAACTGCAAGTGTTCCGAGTGTTTTCACAGCTGTTGGTACTGTAGTTAGCATGGAATAAAGTAACATTTTCACATGGGCATTTATTTAAGTAGGCCATGTTCAGCAGGCAGTACTGCCCATAGAACACAACAATGGGGATGTTTTATGCTGTGCCAAGATGAGAAACATTGTGACTGCTGCATGTGTATACCCCAGTATGGCTGCCTTTGCAGCTTAGGGGAGTGGCTGGGGGGTAGATAGTTATCCCCAACACAGGTGCTACCATTGGAAGATTTACCCTTACTTTTTCTTTTGGGTACAACTGTCAGGGACTGCGGGACTCGCAGCGGCACACAGGTCTGCACATACGTAGATTGCCTAGGTGCACTAATGTGCAGGCACTAGGACCTGGGCATCGGCGGTGGCAATTGCACCAATGACGGTGCAGGGCGCACTATTTAAACTGGCCAGACGGTGACTAGGTTGCCGCAAGGTCTAGTTCCTGTACCCGTGTTCTGAAGTGTGTTCCTGTTGCCGATCCTCCTTGTCCTGATTTGTGTTGACCTTCTCCTGCTCTGACCCCCGGCTCGTCCCTGACTACTATCCTGCCTGTTGTTATATTACTATTGGACCTCCCGATGCTCAACCTTGGCTCGTGACCCGGCTGCTCTCTGTCTACTGTGTAGTGCCTACCTGCCTCCACCGTTACCGACCCGGCTAGTCTGACTACGCTCATTCCTGACTGTCATCCATCCATCCCACTCGGGACCTGGACTTCTCAGCCTCTTCACAGCAGGCTCACCCCCCGGCACGTACCCTCGGCGGGACCCCTCTACCACAGTTGGGTGCACTCAGGGGTCGCGACCTGGTTTCAGTCTTGCACCAAGTCCATCCCCACCATCAGGGGCTCTGGTGAAAAGGCAGACTGGGACTTAGACTCCGCGTCCTGGGGAATCGCGTTCTGTGGATCACTAGAGATTCCGCCGGGTGGTGCCTGACAACAACTCTATATTTTTGAATTTACCCTCACTTTCTGTCACAGTAACAATGGTGATCAGGACAAACGGAGGGGCGCATCTCTCCTTTGGGAACTAAACAAGCAATAAAAACTTACCAACTTACCACCCTTCCCCATTCCATCCAAACCTAGAAAAAAAAAAAATCTTGCCTTCAGATACACTTTAACCACTTGCCCTCCGGAAGGTTTTACCCCCCCCCCCCCCCTCCATGACTAGGCCATTTTTTTATATACGGTACTTTAACTGAAAACTGCATGGTAATGCAATGCTGTACCCAAAGGAAATTTATATAATTTTTTTTAAACACAAATAGAGTTTTCTTTTTGTGGTATTTGATAGCCACTGGGTTTTTTTTTTTTTTTTATTATATAAATTAAAAAAAAGACCAAAAATTTGGAAAAAAAAAAAAACCCCAATAATTTTTTTGCTTTCTGCGATAAAACATATCCAACAAAAAAATGTTAAACATCTAATTTCTTCATAAACTTAGGTTAAAATGTATTGTGCTACATATTTTTGGTAAAAAAATCCAAACAAGCATTTAATAAATGATTTGTATGAACGTTATAGCATCTACAAACTATGGAATACATATACTGTAATTTTTTATCATTTTATTTTATGCTAGTGATGGCGGTGATCAGCGACTTATAGTGGGACTGTGATTGTACAGAAAGCAATCTAACACTAACTGACACTTTGTGGGAACTGAATAACTGCCACTGATATCTCCAGTGACACTAATACAGTGATCAGTGCTAATAACATACACTGATACTGTACTAGTGACACTGACTTTGAAGGAGTTAACATCTAGGGCAGGGTTTCTCAACCAGGGTTGCTCCAGAGATTGCTAGTGGTTCCTTGAGCAATGAGCAATATCCACCTCTCAGATAAGTTCCGGCTGACACCATTGATATTTTTAGCTATCTGTAAGGGGGTAATTCTTCTCCATGACCACAAGTGTAAGGAACATTCTTCCCACTGACCATCACACAAATGTATCGTGAGCTGTAGATACAGTAATTTTTATCAGGCGTTTCGCTTCTCG